GTTGCCTTACTACATCGATGTCCGGCCTGTGAGAGTCTACGGAAAGGCGGCGACAGTTCTGGTCAAATTCCACCGGTGGCCACACACCAACAGTATGCAGCGTGGGAGGCCGTTGCAGTAGATGCTGGCGACTGGATACCACCTAAATCCAAAGTGAAGGTGAAGTTTCTGGTCTTCATGGACGTTGCCACGAAGCTTCGAGTGATCCATCCCTTGTTCACCTACGGCTTCCTTGAGATGAGAGCGGAGTCCGGACAGGACTTCATCCGAGCCCTGTCTGAACGATGGCTTGGAATGTTCCCAAAACCAAAGTATCTGCTGCTAGATTCGGCTAAGAGCTTTACGTCCGAACTGGTGCATGACTTCCTGAGCGACATCAATGTGGTCCCCCACTACGTGGCTGAGAAGGAGAGCTGGGCCCATGGAGTCATTGAGGCCTCCATGCAGGACATCAAACACACGGCCTCAGCCATACACTTGGAGGACCTGTCTCAAGATCCTGTGGTGACCTTGCAGCTGACGGCGTCTGCCCTGAATGCTACGGAAACCACAGCTGGCTTTTCAGCCAATCAATGGGCATTCGGTTCAGAGTACTGCGTAACGGATGAGGACATCAGGACCTACGAGACGGTGGAGCCTCGCATCGAGTTCACGAAGCTCATCACGGCGCGGCTCAAGGCCGAGGAGATCGCCAAGGCAAGTCGGGGCAAGCGAGTCCTGTCCAGGCTCGCAAACACAACCGTGAGGCAGCCCTTGCGGACCTACAACCCCATGGACTTGGTGAAGGTTTGGCGGAAGGTCTGGCCACAGGAACAACACAAGGGGCCACGCGGTGGCTTCAAGAAGTCAGGAAGGCCACATTGGATTGGACCCGGCAGAGTGGTGTTTCATGAAGTTCTACCACACCAGGAGGCGGATGATGACCGCCGCCACATCGTGTGGGTATTGGTTGGCAGCCAGCTGCTACGTTGCTCAGTGCGTTCTGTCAGGCCAGTGACAGAGACGGAACGGTTTGAGTTTGAGACCAGCAAGACCGAGGACCCTACGAAGTGGAAGACGCTGGCCGACATAGTGCCGACGCGAGAGTACCAGGACCTCACTGAACAAACACCTGGTGAAGGTGA